AGTATCGCAGTTTCCAAAAAAATATTTGGCAGCACAACATTGATAATTCTAATAATAAATCTGCATATTAGATTTCTTAAGAATCATGTGACACTTTATACTGGAGTAACGGCTGATGGAAATTCAGCTTTGCATCACAGAAATAAATTATATTTTAAAGTATATTAAAATAGAAACCATTATTTTATATTGTAATAACATTTTGCATATATATACTGTAATATATCTGTAGATCTGTAATATATATATATATATATATATATATATATTACAGATCCTCATGGAATTTAAAACCAAAGTTTGCAATTTGTTTCCCAATTACACTAGATGCTTGTATCAAAGGAATAAGTACTAGTATGTAAAAAATAATAATAATAATAAAAATATATATATATATGTATATAAAATACTAGTACTTATTCCTTTGATATAGTCACTTTGGCAACAAGCACTAATATGCAGTGAACCTAGTGAAAGTGAAAGATACTTTTCAATATTAGAATTACTAGTTTTAAAAAAACAGTTATGAATTAAAACAATAATACAATTTTAAAGAATAAATGTTTCAACAGCTTGCCATAATAGACAGCTGTAATCTATCTGAGACGTGAGAGACTACATTTATGGCATTGTAGCTTGACTGGTAGTGGTCACTCACAGACTAATTACTAAGGTGTTTTTTTCCACGGGGAGGAGCAACCAGAGCAGCAGAGTAGCGTAGCGTTCTAGACACTTGCGTTTGGAAAGCGAAGGCACCAGCGTGCGCTCCGTGGACGCGCTCGAACCTCACGCCGTGATGTTCTAATTATTCAAATAACCGAATTATTAACCTACAGTTGATTGCTTGCGTAATATTTCGACAGAACGTAATATTTCGACTTGCGTTCGCATTTATTTTACAGTCGCGTTGATTTTTATACGTTTATATAATCTGCATTGCGCTCCTGGAGAAGTTCGTTCTTGAACTGTCGTTATGGTTTGGAGAGTATTTTGGGGCTAAATGTAAACGCATAGTTGTTATGGAGACATTATGAAAGGCAAAGACATGTAATGCACTATATTACGCGCTGCAATTTTAATGTTAACTACACAGATATCTACTACAATGTCACAGGCTGAGGTAGACATGGCTAGTCTTGGCTTCCCGAAGTTGCCTGCTGGTTCTGACGCGGACTCGTTCTTCCCAGCGCGCCTGCCGCCGAGACGGAGGAGACACTCGGCGAACTCCAGGAGAAATGCCTACAGATTTAACAAACTCCACACCATGGACGTTGAGCCCCAAGAGAGCATTGCATCTCTGACAAAAACTCTTTCGTGGTCAGCCGACAATATTTTATCGGAAAGTACCAACGAGGAGAAAAAGACGGACTCTTCTCCTCCAGTGTCACTTGCCTCCAGCTCTCCACCTGAGACACGAGACTCGGACCCGCGACCCGCTGATACCTGGGCCACCGAGGAGCCCAGCGCGCAGGAGGCTGATGCCAGCTCGGACTCCGATGATGAAAGCACCGAGAAGAAAGCTGTTTTGTCAAGAGCCCTGTTTGAGAGTAAACGCAAGCAGGAGGAAAAGGATGAGGTTGAGACTAAAGCTGTGGCGACTTCACCTGATGGAAGATTTCTGAAATTCAACATTGAAATCGGAAGGGGGTCCTTTAAGACAGTCTACAAAGGATTGGATACGGAGACCACCGTGGAGGTTGCTTGGTGTGAACTGCAGGTAAGGAGGTTAAAGTTCAGTTACTTTCATGGGGGTCAACTTTTCGGTCAGTCTAGACGCAGTCGGTTGAGGTCTAGTTAAATAGACCTAGTCAGTTAACTGTCGAATTGTCCAGTATCCCCTCACCGCAGAACAAAGATCCAGGGGGCGGGGTTGGATCGACATCTAGGTGGTGGAGATGGGTGGGTTTAGGGATCAGGGGGTGGAGACGGGTAGGTTTAGGTATATGTAAGGTGGGAGGAGTTGGATCTGGATCCAACCTCGCCCCCTGGATCTTGTGTTCTGCAGTGAGGACCATCTCGAATTGTTCAAGCAGTAATTCTTTTATTATCAGTAAATGTATGTAGAAGTTCATAGATGTGCATTGGATCATTTATTGGGTCACCAGGTAAGACAGTCAGTGAAACTGAATCTTGCAGTTAGCACCAGCAAGTGTTTTAGGAAGTGTTCTGTATGGTCTCACACTCTTATGATAATGAGGAAGGGGGGATAAGAAAGGGTGTAAATAAAATATCAAGAGTAAGTTATGATAGCATTTAGATAGTCTTTTTGTCATACAATGACTGCGCCCCGCTGATATCTAAACTCACCCTATGATGAATGGACGAATGTATTTGTTATCTTTGCACGGTTAGTAATCAGATGCATCTGTTCTTCAGTGGAAATGAGAGTAACACTGATGTCATGTTTTAGCTTACTTTGCAAGGCAGTTTTCATTAGCATGTGACATTACAGTCTAATCAAGGCAGTGGATTTCTAAAAAGTCACATTTTTATTTTGCTACAGATGACATACTGAAACTGCATTATCTCATCCTAAGAGGCAAGATCTCATCATGTGAAGTGTCAATAGGTTGATTAATGTGCGAGGCTTAAGACAGGAATGACTAGCTCAAGGTTATGTCGTTGAATGTTTTAGTGTTAAATATAGATGGGTTAACATATTTTTATTTTCACCTCAGACAGTTTTTTTTTTTTTTAAGACAGTTTGAACTTTCATCTAGTTTGATAACTTAGTGTGGTTTGTCAAACAATGTTTATAATGCGGACAGTTCAGATTCTAAATTCTGATTAAACGAGTCATTCGAATCTATGGTTTCAGTGATTTTTAGGATGTGTGAAGGGGTCCATCACCTCTGGTAGCTTATTATTGTAGTATGAGCAGCACAATGCTTGATAAAATCATGTGGATGAAATCTGCTGGATCTGTTATTTTTAACTTTACAAATTGATCTTGATTGAATGGAATGTAGACAGTCTGATATATCTTTCATTTTAGGTATAAGTATAGATGTGTTCTAATGTTTTTTGTACACTGAATCCAAAACCTAGAATACTTCACTGTGCATTAGGAAAACTTCTTCTCCAGTGCTTAAAGCTGTGTTGGCTATTATATCCATCACAGGTAACCTGAGTATTGGGCACTGGACCTTCTCCCAGGCGTCCTTATGGTGCAATATGCAAGATGCCACATGCTATGGTACTAGGCAAATTGCTGGGGTCATCAAGTACGTTTTTCCAGCAAAAACCTGCATACTAAAACATGCTATGTTCACAGTACAGATGAATTGGCCCAAATCTGCAGCACAGATGTGATTCTAAACAATACTTTACAAATCTGATTTTGGCTAGTTCAATAAATCCCACTAGATCTAATATAGTGGTTCTTATTTGGTGGGTTGCAGGTCTGTTCAAGAAAGGAAACAGTGCTAAATGCAAATAATAAAATGTAATGAACTGTAGCTATTTAAAGCTTTTTAAAGGGAGGATAAATTGCTTTCCATATAATTTTTTTGTTGACATCAAAGGTTGAATGTCCATACTCTTCAGGTATCACCTGGTAAAAGTTAACCAAATTAGCCAGATGCCAACATGAGCAGGTTGGGTGACAGAGGCCCTGTCCCAAATGGAACACTTCATGTGCACTTGCGGTCTTACCGACTTACAATGGCCGCCATATGCACATGTCCGTTAAGTCCACGAGACCGTAGGGTGTCCCATTTGTAATTTTAGTGTTCAGAAGGGTGCTCACGAGTGCCCCATCTGCGGCCGTTATGCGCCCTCGATCCGCACTTCTGCCAAGCCCGCACTGGGGCTAGCTTCGCAGCAGACTTCTACCCGACAGTCAAAGCGGCATTACGTCACAAAAGTGCGGACTCAGAGGAAGACCGCGAGGGTTTAGGGTGCCATTTGGGACAGGGCCATACTGTCATCCTCGAAAAGAATGAACAAAGCTATGCATCTGAAAGAAAACACAACCCAGACGACATTCAATACAGGTTCCCTTGCAGTTATGATTATCAAATTTTTACTTAATGTTATATTCATGTTAAAAAAATGTAACTATTATTATTTTTATTTACATTTTATTTAGGAAGACATACTCACAAATAGCTACAGTTGTGGTCAAAATTTTACATACACTTTGCAGTATCTGCAAAATGTTAATTAGGCCTATTTTACCAAAATAAGAGAGATGTTACAAAATGCATGTTATTTTCAAATTCTTTGGTTTTCCAGCATTTTTGTGTATTTGAACCCTTTCCAACAATTGGACAACTGAGGGACTTACATGCAACTATTACAAAAAGTTCAAATGCTCACTGATGCTCCAGAAGGAAACAAGATGCATTAAGTAATTAATAAACTTTTTGAATTTGAAGATCAGGGTAAATTGAAGTTATTTTGTCTTCTGGGAAACATGTAAGTATCTTCTGAAGGGCAGTACTAAATGACAAAAAAACATATTTAGGCAAAATAAGGAAAATGTACACATCTTCATTCTGTTCAAAAGTTTACACCCCTGGCTCGTAATGCATTGTGTTTCCTTCTGGAACATCAGTGAGCGGTTGAACTTTTTGTAATAATTGCGTATGAGTCCTTCAGTTGTCCTCAGTGCGAAAACATGGATCTCAAAATCATACAGTCATTGTTGGAAAGGGTTCAAATATGCAAAAGCTGCTGGAAAACCAAATCATTGGTGGGACCTGAAGGATTTTTCTGAAGAACAGCGGGGAGTTTAACTGTTCAGGACAAACAAGGGACTCATGAACAACTATCACCAAAAAAAAAACAGCGGTGGATCATCCAGGTAAGAATCAAGTTTATGTAAACTTTTGAATGGGGTCATTTTTATAAATTCAACTATTTTTTTCTCTTGTAGACTATATGTAAACGTATTTTATGTGAAATATCTTATTCAGGTCAGTAAAAAATAACATGCATTTTGTATGATCCCTCTTATTTTGGTAAAACAATTAACATTTTGCAGATACTGCAGAGTGTATGTAAAAGTTTGACCACAAATGTATGTTATTTACATATTTCTTCTAATTCTAATTAAAATGATCTCTGTGTACCCTGTGTAAAGTTAAGATTTTCAAAACATTTTTGTTTATTTTTTTTATGATAAACTATTTTGTTTGATAAACAGTGTTGGGTCACAAAATTTAGGCTCTGTAGAAAACCAGTTGAAAAACAGTACTATACAGAGAGCTCAGCTTAGACTTCATGTATTTCTTTAACTTCACTCATCACTGTGCAGATGCACATTACAATCATCATCATTCATTGCCAGTGGCACTTTTCTTGTACAAAACTGTTGTCAACACAGGTGCTCTGCAAATTACTGATGAATGCTTCTTTGGCTATTTTATTCTTTTTCCTTGATGCATTCAGGCAGATATAGCAAAATATTGGATTTGAGTAAAAAATAAAATCTTAAAAGGATAGTTCAATGTTCAAAATGAAAATTCTGTCATAATTTACTCACCCTCAAGTTGATCCAAATCTGTATCAGTTTCTTTCTTTTGTTGAACACAAAAGAAGATATTTTGAAGAATGTTGGTAACCAAACAGTTGCTGGTAGCCACTGACTTTCATTTTTTTTTCTCCATACTATGGAAGTCAATGGCTACCTTCAATGCTTGGAACAACTGTAAATGATGACAGAATTTTCATTTTTGGGTGAACTACAGTAAGTGTAGCTTTAGTGGAGGCATTGATTGTTCTGCTGAAAGTGCTGTCAACAGCACTTGGACTCTTTTGTTGTACTCGCATGACATGTTGTCTGTCTCGTTAGAAAAGGATGCTTGTTAATCCTGTGAATGGGCAGGAAAGTGGTTTTGTGACTTTCCCAGACTGCCGGCCTCCGGTCATTCACAGAGTGCTTGTTTGCCCCTCACAGTTTTATCTGCGAAAGCCATTCCACAGCAACCCTTTATCCCGCAGTTCATTTTTCTGCCTGCTCGTCACACCTTCGATTGTGCCATTTACTGCCTGTGGTGCGTTCATTGAGCTAATCCTCTTGAAAGAGTAGAACATTTATTTTACCCAGAATGCAATGCTTAATTACCTTGCTAAATGGTCGCCTGGTGAAGGAGAGCTGCCATGGTGAGAGTGGCTTATGACCACTGAGGATGGCTCCACACTCTGTGAAAATGAGACAAGCTTTGCTTTGAGACTTAATGCAGTTAATGGGATTGACTGAAGTCTCTTGCTCAGCGATTTCTCTTTCATGATGACTGACACCCTTAAATGTGTGTTTAAGACCCCATGACTAGTGTTGTATATATGTTGAATCATTTTAGGGAACTTTTTTCTAGAGAGCCGTAGGTTTTTACTTGTTATTTGTGTGGCACTTTGTGTTTAAAAAAAAAAAATATTATTATGAAAAGTGCTTTATTAATACATTAAAATTGGATTGAAAAGGTTTCTCTTATATTCTGATGTTGGGTAAAAATTCTCTATATATGCATATGATATGTGTATTTAAAATTATTTTTATTCATATAATTATTTAATAATAAAAAATGTTATATAGATATATATATATGTATATATATATACACGTGTATATACTGATTTCTGAAGGATCATGTAACATTGAAGACTGAAGAAATGGCTGCTAAAAATGTATCTTTGCCATCATATGGATAAATTAAATTTTAAAATATATTAAAATAGAAAACAGTTATTTCACATTATTACTGTTTTACTGTA